AAAAAAAAATTAAAAAACTCTCTCAAAAAAAAAAAAAAAAAAGACAGAGTGGAAAGGTGTGGGCTTTGGAACAGACAGAACCGAGTCCTCATTCCCTGCTTCTCAAACATGGGGACTTTAGCTTGCCAATGCACCTATAAGCTGGAGGCAGCTTTCTCAAAGGCACTCTTGGGGCTCAGCAGTAGCTCAATGAAAATACGTTTTCCTCCCACTGGATCCCATGTGAGGTTTCCACAGAAAGCCTTTCACAGAAAAGGGATGCCAGATTTTATTGATGAATTCATTTTGTTATCTATGTGTGACGAGTAACCTTTCAGAGGAAAGGTGCATCTTGCTCGAAGGTAAACGGGCTTTATCCCCTCAGAGGCCTGCCAGCTTATGGATGGCTCCTGGGCAAGGCCCGCGGCAGGGCCACAGGCAGCGTTTCGGGCGCCATTTTCCTTTTGCTACTCACAGTCCACATTCCACTTGATGTTCCGGGGAGAAAGTTTCAGGGTTTCGTTGATCTTCTCCAGGACGGTCTGCAGTTTCTGCTTCTGAGCAATCTCTGACTGGGTGACTTCAGCCACATTTAGCTTCTCACTCTCAAGTTTCTCTGAATAACAAGAGAAAAGAGGACAGCTGTTACCTTGGGCCACAGACAACCCAACTCCTGTACATACCCACTAGTTCATGCGTGCACTCAATGAGCACTTACTGAGCACCTACCTAGGAGAAGGACACTGCTGTCCCCTCATCTGACAGTGGCGCTGGCAGCACCAGCACTGTGGAAGCCTTGTGATTGTGCCTTGGAGCCCAGTGACAAGGCCCCAGGACCACAGGAGAGGGGCTAACAGCCTAGCACACCTCGCCTCCTTCCCATCATTCTGGGGTTCTCCCCCTTTCTTTTCTGTTCTGCCTTCTTGAAGGACATCTGTAGTCTCTAACTGAAGAGCTTTCTCTGTTTCTTCTTGGTAGAGTCAGTCGAGCTCTTATTTGACAGGTACACGCATTCCTGTACCTTCCTGCAGTACAATATGTGTCATACCCAGTCATTTTTATCTGCTTAAGCAGCTTATTTCCTTTTATCCCCACCTGGAAGGTAATTTATTGGATGTGGACTTATTTCATCAACTCTAAGACACACACTTTTCACATTTTAACATGCCTAAAATCAAGCTGTGTCTTCAGATAGATGACATCCTGTAACTGCCATCAGCCAAAAGGAAGGCCAGAGAGTCGTCACTGTCTCCACGGGCATGACCTGGGTCATAGCTCTTCGTCATGTGATCACTGCCCTGTCTGTACACCTGAAAGAACACCTCCAAAAAGTATAATATAGGGCCGGCTTCATGGTGTAGCAGTAATGCACTGCCCTAGAAAACCCAGTCCCACATAGCAACTGCAGTTTAAACCCCTGGGTAGGTCAGTCTGAAACATGCCGGGCACACACACGTCCCTGATCCAATGGGCTTGGGGCCTGGGGGAGGGGGCTGTGGCATGACCAACCCCCGTGGGTACTCCCACCACATCTCAAGCTCATGTACACATGCTCTATTACAAATAAAGAAAAAAAATTTACAAGCATAAATAAAAAATTAAGAGTAAGAAAGCACTGGGTAATAATTTAATTGAAGTGATTTTTCTCTTACTAAGTGGCACTTACATAATGACATGCTTATTTTAAATCAATGGTTTTTGCATGCAATGATATAATCCCTTAATATTTAAAGGCAAAACATGGTTTACTCTTTTTATTAATCTAAATTCATATTTTAACCTATTACAAAAGACAAGGCGACTCTGGACTCCTTAAAGGGAAATGTATTACCTGCTACTGGATTTCCCTGATCTGCTCCCTCTAGCTCACCAGGATTGATAGAACTGACATTCTTGAAACAAGATTAAAATGAGAAAACTCATGTTTAAGGGCTGTCATAAAAAACAAATGAAACTTTACATTAATAGTTCCCTTTGTTTACATTATTTTTTAAAAAGGTGGAGCAGGGGGCCAGCAGGTGGCGAGGTGGTTAAGGCGCTGGATACTCCCATATGGCCGACCATGGTTCGAGTCCTGGACTGGTGGCTTGCTTTCTCACTTTCTCCCTCTCTTGCTCTCTGTGTATCTCTCTGGTCAAATGAAGATAAATGAATGAATAAGTAAAATTAAGTAAAAAAATGGAATTAAAGAATGAGTTATTTAAAAAAATAGTTGCAGCTTATCCAAGTCAAATACCCTTTTGGTAAGTCTTTGAAGATGAGTTTGGACAATTTCTGCACATTCTGTGGATTCAAGAATTCTTTTCAGCATGTTTGTAGGCTGATCTAAATTTAGTCTTATTTGTGATGGCCTAAAATATTATCCTTGTCTCCTCTTTAGTTGCTTCAAGCCATCTTTCTTTATCTTTGAAGTTCAGGGATCAACAAGCACCTATCAAATAATGGGTCATTGGAAAAGTCATGACGCATTTTTGCATAGAAAAACATAGAAAAAATATGTCATGACTTTTCTGACAACCCAGTATAGTTTTAGGCTGAATTCTTATCTTGGATCCTCGCCTATAAACGCAATGACAACTTGTTTTCTTTTTTGTTGTCTCTCTCTTCCTCCTCTTCTTTCCCCTCTCTTTCCTTCTTTTTCCATTATTTCATTGTTGTTGGATGATGTAATTGTCTCTGTTGAAGCAAGTTGTTCTCATTTTACTTTGCATGTCCAAGCATTGGGTAGAAGCTGCCCAAAATGCTGGATTAAGAAACTTGAGGCCTTGTCTTGGCTCAGAAGGAAGGCTGCTGGGATGGGCCAATGATGACTGTCTTGGGCATGGGCTGGGTAGGTGCAGAGGAAAGAAAGGAGCTGGAGAGCCACCTGCTTGCTAGCCCTGCTGTATCACATCATCATCTATGAACTTCCGTACTCATAAAAAATCTTTTGCCGAAGGATGCTTAGACTAGCTTAGGTCTCCGAGTCTGTTTTCTAGGTCAGTAACTTTTTTTTTGCACTGATGGCCATTCATTCTTCTTCTTCTTTTTTTTTTTTTGGAGAGGTTTTTGCTATAGGGCGTGTGTGCTCGCCAGACAGACAGAGACAGAAAGACAGAAAGCGAGAAATCACCTCCCAGGGGGGATGGCCACATCGCAATCCCTTCTCCTCCATTCTCCTCTTGGGATCTTGGGCACACATGCACACGCGCCCGGTGTGAGGTTAAGCCACTGGGTCCGGGACTCAAACCATTCTCAACTATGTGGTAGTCCAGCAACATAGCCATTGCACTAACTGCTGGTCCCTTCCATTCATTCTTATTTTTAAAAAATTGTTGTGACAGGAGCCCGTGTGTGGTGTGGTGTTTAAGACATTGAACTCCCACATGGCAGACCACAGTTCAAGTCCTGGACCTGGAAGCTTGCTTTCTCACTTTCTCTCTCTCTGGCATGTGCCCTATAGCAAATTTAAAAAACAAAAAGATAATAATAAATAAAACAATTATTTAGAAAAAGAATTTTGGGGCTGGCAGGTGGCATGGTGGTTAAGGGTGCTGGACTTCGACATGGTTGACCATGGCTTGAGTCTCGGAATTGACAGCTTGCTTTCTCCCTCTCCCTCTCTCACTCTGCCCCTCTCTAGTCAAATTAAAACAAACAAATAACTTAAGTTAAATAAAATAATTTTTAAAAATTAGTGTGACATAATGAGAAATACACATTTGGTCTCCTGGCCTCCCTTCCTTCTAAAACCCTTATAACTTCCTGAATGATAGGGTAAGAGAAGCATTTGTTGTAATATTTGGTTTCTGTTCCCATTCCTGAAAGAGCTTTGGAGCAATAAAGATGAAAGAAGTGTCTTTTGTTATTCATCAAGAGCCTCTTTCAATCAAGCCAGAGTTATGTTAATGAGGTGAATTTTGGAGAGCTCTAAGGTGTGTGTGTGTGTGTGTGTGTGTGTGTGTGTGTGTGTGTATGGTGTGTGTTGGGGGTGCTTATTGCCATGGGAACCAAATTAGAGATTTAAGGGTTGGTGCTTTTATTTTTCTTCCTTTATTTATTTATTTTTTATACATTCAATCACATTATTTAGCTTACAAAGTGAACATATCAATATGTGAACATTTCTCCCCAGTCCAGTTGATCAAAATATCTTCAACCGATACCACACCTCCTCATCCCATCAATGCTCTGCCTCCGTATCCCTCCTCCAAATGTCCTTCCTTAGGCCCCACTCCTCCACACACACCACATCTGGCATTTACACCCATCCCTTGTGTTTGTACAACCTTTAGTCAATCAGTTTCAGTCATAGAGTGCAGACATTTGGTATATATTAAGTGGGGACATACAATGTCTTTCCTTTATAGCCTGGCTTGCTTCACTCAGCAGTAAATCTTCCATATTCTTCCACTTTCTGTCAAAAGCTAGGGTTTTGTTGGTTTTTATGGCTGAATAGTATTCTATAGAGTATATGTGCCACAGTTTTTCAATCCATTCATCCGTGCGGGGGCACTTGGGTTGGTTCCATGTCTTCGCAATCGTGAATAGTGCCGCAATAAACATCGATGTGCAAGCACTTTTCCAATGAAGAATTCTTCTGTCCTTTGGGTAGATACCGAGGAGTGGGATTGCTGGATCATATGGTAGTTCTATTTTTACTCCCACTCCCCAACCTCTATAAAGCAGAGAGGGGCTGAAGGTTGAGTGCCTATATAACGAAGCCTCCATAAAAACTCTAACCAGGTGTGTTCAGAGAACTTCCTGGTTTATGAACACATGGGAGGGCCATGTGTCCACACAGGGCCTGGAACTTCTGCACCCCAACCCCATACTCTGTCCTGTGCATCTCTCCCATTAGGCTGTTTCTAAGTGCAGTTCTTTTAATAAGCTGGTAAACACAAATGCCTTCCTAAGTTCTGTGGACTGTTCTAGCAATAACCAAATTCAAGGAGTGCACCATGGGAACCCCCAGTCTGCATGGCTGGTCAGATGTACTAAAGGCCTGGACTGTGACTTGAATTGTGCAACTGTGTGGGATCCAGTGCTTTAACCTCATACCACCTGATGGCCCTCCTTAGTTATTTTTAAAAAAATACTTGTTTCAAAATATGTGGGGGAAGTTAACTTTAAAAAATGTATTATAGAGACTCTGGTCTGTGTACTAATTTGTCGAGACTTGCATTATAGATGTAGTCAAATTTTATAAGTGCTCCATGTGCAGTATCGGGGGGTTTAACATGCTGTACCCAGATCAGTTAAAGCTGGTTTATTATATCATCTGAGTTTTTTGTATCTTTAGAAAAAACTATCTTTAACTTTGTTTCTTAATATTTGTGAAATGTGTTAAAAAAATCTACTTCTATGATAGTGAATTTGTCAAGTTACTCTTGAAATAATGATTGTCATTTTAAAGTAATATATTGGATCACTGAAAAAGTCATGACACGGGGCCATCAGGTGGTGTGGTGGTTAAGGGTGCTGGACTCCCACATGGCCGACAGGGGTTCAAGTCTCTCACTCTGTCCCTCTCTGGTAAAATTAAATAAATAAATAAAGAAAGAAAGAAAGAAAGAAAGTTAAATAAAATAATTCTTAAAGAAAAGAAAAAGTCATGATAAATTTTTGTATAGGAAA